CAGATGTCACCAATCAGCGGCTCATTTCAACAGAGGCTCCCAAAGAGCTCAGATCATCTCACCTGCTCATGAGCAGCAACTTTAAAACCCACTTTGTCTGAATGGACTCTGGTGGACGTGTGCAGTGATTTCAGCGCCCACCTGTTCTCATGATCACTCACCTATCCTCAGAAACAACACCACGCTGAACATGGACAGCAGGGTGGGGATCACCACGCCGAAGAAGACCGACAGCTTCTTGGGCTGCCGCTGCTGGCCGGACCGCCGCCTGGGGCTGCCCGGGTGCTGCTCCGGGGCCTGGCCGGCCGGTGGAGCCCGCAGCTCGGACTCATTGACGCTGGTGGAGAGGCGGTAGTGGAGGAGAGGAGTCCGCTCTGTCATGGTGAAACCTACCGCTGGACAGGAGCCACAACTTCTCAAAGTGGACCAAACAGACTCGGACTGAGTTCGTCCGAATGTTTCCGAACACGTCAATTAGTCTTTACGGCGGTTTCCGAAGTTAGAGGCGCCCTGATTCCCGACAGTTAAAAGTCCACTTCAGCCCGCCACATGGCAGAACCGCGACCCAGCGCGTCCGGTACCGGTCAAAAGTAACTTCAAACACAACCAGCGCGGTGGACCTACATGTTCACACGACCGGTTCCTTCATTTAGCATCAAAATGTGCGTTAAAACCGTGACGGGCTGCCCTCCTCTCTCCTCCGTACCACCGCCGCTGAACCCAGCGTCACGTGACGCACACACGTAAAGGTGCGTCAATCACACGGAAGCAGCTGCTCACACCTTTCAGTATAAAAGCCTCTGATAAAATCAAGTTTATTTACAGTCGTCCTCAGATGTATTCATACCCTCCATTAAGAAGGAAAAAGACAGCTGTNACGGCTTCGTTCAGTGGTGTCAGCAACGCACAGCTCAAAAGGTCGGCAGATGAATACATTCCTGCCGCTATGAATCTGTGTCGCTCACAGAAAATCGTCAGAACAGAAAGGAAGACGCCTCTTAAAGCTGATTTAAATCTCTGAACAGAACCTCCTCCAGAACAGTTACCATGGTGACCAAGCAGGTTAAACAAGAAACCGAAAGCTCTGATTTTAGGCTCAACATGAGTCGCTGTCTAACGAATCTTGCTTCATAGTCCAACCGCTCTGGTCAGCTGGTTGAAAGCAGAACCTGAGCCTGAGACCCGGCGCCATTGTGGACGAAAAGGGAAGTTAAACTTTCCTGGGAAGGACCCAAACACACAATAGAGGGGATGTAAGCATGCAAAGTGGATCCAAAACCACAAAAACGAACACACTGCCAGCATCATCGAGTCGGGTCCGTTAGTGTTAGAAACAGGATGAGCACGTCTGTGAGGATCCTTAGAGACACTGAAACCACAGCAGCTGTGCTCAGAGTGACTCCACAACACAACCTCTGGGAAAGTGAAACTGACATCACGTGTTGGGGGGAATTCCTGGTTCTGCTTCACCAACAGTAAAGTATGTGTTTGGAAATATCTGGACTTGAAAGCAAAAGCATCCTGATTTAAACAAGCACGTACTTTTCAAAAGGAGAAGTTAAAAAGATTTAAGGTCTGTAGAAAGCAGCTCAGTGAAATGTTGGCGTAGCGGCTATTTCAAACAGCACCAGGCTGCCGCACGGAACCACAGGAGAACCAGGGTTCTAACACCGAAGACCAGGACAAAGTAATCCGTTTAAGTCCAGTTACTTCCATCCAAACTGAACATCACACGTCCACGTTGTCCACAGGTAGGACATCTGTGTGGAGCTCATTCAGACACAACGTCCTCATAAGGGCAGGATCTGACCTTTACCCACTGAAATAACGTTTTTAAATCGCTTTATCAACCAAACTTTATCTTAAATCAGTATTTATATTTTTAACATTAGATTCAGTTTTTAACACAGCAAATTTCTATATTTTTAACCAAAGTAATATTTAAAGTTTTATCTTTTTTACTGCGTACGGCTCTAACAGTCGGTCTCGTCAGTATTATTCCAGACTGACCGAGTCTTGTCCGTCTCATTCACAGAATTAAGCGAGAGTACAAAGTCATGTGTGTCCAATGAGGTGTGAGACGACACATCAGCGTCGCTTCACACCGCGTTAGACACACATTCTGCATGTCATCACCACTTTCTACTGCTGTGACCTTCCACCCTGTATCTGTTTATGTAGGATCAATAGCTGTGACTGGCGTGTTCACACCGTCCGTCTGTCTGGCTGTCACCAGGTCTGCTGGTGGAAGTCACATGATCACAAAGCAAGAGCTCATTTTACAGCAGCAGTACCAGGTGAGGAAGAGGGCAGCAAGCCGCTTACACATGCACAAAAGGCTTCCTTTGTTTTAGCACTGGTGGCATGTTTAAGAGAACTCTGATATGAAACACGCTTAATTTTAAACATCCTACGAGTGCAGCGTGACTCCACGATGGCCACGATAATGTTGTCCAATAACACACTCGTACCCTCGGCTCTATTTACAGGCAGTTATGGAGGCTGGCAGATGTACAGTAGTTTCACATCCACTGTGAAACCTGCGTGAGTTCCTGTGCAGACCAACATGTCAGAGTGTAGGAACAGCAGGCTGAACACAGGCAGCCACTATGTGTGACCATGTGAGTGTGTGCATGTGTGTGTTCTGTGTGTGTTCGGGGCAGCTGACATCTCACGAGACCGGGGTGGGGTGGAGGGGTGAACAAGAGTCAGAAAACAACTTGAACGTGGAACAGGAGGGAGAACATGACCCAGATAGGTGGAGAAGGCAGGACAGAGGATGAAATGGGTTCGTTGTGAGAAGCTGGTGTTTCACAAGCGTCTGCGGGTTCTGTTCCCGCTTTGACAGCAGAAAAACAGCACATTACTAACTTCATTACTAGGAAAACAGAACTTCTGTCCTCCTGAGGCCGACCACAATGACACACAGGAATCTTTCCTCTAAATGTCCATAAACCACAAGAAAAAGTGGAAATACCTGAAACCTGCCCTCATTCATCCACCAGACTTTGTTTAACTCACACATTAGGAGCCTGAAGCTCATCTTCCATCCTATCGTGGGACCCATTCAAGCCAATCTTCACGACACAGCTGCAGCAGTTGTTAAAGACGACATCTGTGCTACGAGCAAACAGTTTTGCAAGACAAAGGCAGCGCGTGTAAACGAGCAGAGAAAAGATGGTTCAGAGGAACAAGCTGCTGATGAATCTAATAGATTCTCCCTCGAGTAGGAAGTCTAACAAAGCAGAGCAAAACATGTGAATATGGTTTACAGGTAGATTATTGTGACTAAACGTCACCGTGTGATTCATCCACATCTCAGTCCTAATGTATGAACAGTACTGAACTCTTACTCCTGTAAGACTCGGACTCGACGATCAGCCTGGTCGTCTGTCAGGTCTGATATTCAGCATTTTCCTGATCATCAAGCTAATTAAAACCGTCCCGTCCACAGGTGGAGGCAGATTACCTGAGCTGTGTGTTGTGTAATATTTCCTGGTTTTCTTCCTGATCATCTCCGGGTTGTGACACAGACGTGACCATTTGTGGACGTCATCTTGGGCTACAGAAAACACCGACTGACGTCTTTCACCATTTTCTGATATTTAACACTGAACCATCAACCAAGAAAATTACCAGCAGATTCACCACAAGGAAAATAAGTGTTGGCTTCAGTCCTACCTACACCAACATCTGACTGGTCACGAGAAGCCTGTCAACACTGGGGGGAAAGTTCTCCTTCAGTTAAACATGCAGAACAT